CTGTATATATTTTTAAAGTCCTTAAACCTGTATTTAAAACTTCTTTCACTAAGTATTGAAGGAAACTCACCCGGTGTTTTCAGACTTGTCGATCCAAAGGTTCCTAATAGCTGAAAAGCAGTTAACAGGCAATTAAAGTAATTAGAAAAGGAAGTATGTGAACTTAGTGTCCTTTCAAAGGTGCTGACTGCGGTTTGAGCAAGATGGCTATTGCCACCTCTCCCAGAGCTCAAAACCCGCTGGAGACCACTGTCTTGTGGTCTCTTCACGAGAAGCAGCTGTCTGGAGCACTTATGGGTGATCACAAGTCCTCTCCTTATCCAGAGAGGAATTACGAACAGCCAATTACTCACCAGCTCTTCATTCCACTGAGGTTGTTGGCTCCGCTTTTAGTGGAGCTGTCTCCTGTTCACCATTTCTTCCCCGGAAGTCCATCTGTAGGTAATTTTGTCTGATGCCACTTTGAAAGACTGATTTCTAAAACTAAAGGCCAAATTCCATTTTGAATAAATTCAGGAAAAATTTTGCTTTTAGTGGAAATAGGAGCAACAGCAATATTGACGTAAAGAAATTGTGTTGAGAAAGTAAGTTTCATAAAGGTATATTTATATTCTATTAATATACTTATGGACTGTGCCTTCTCAATGGAACAACTGATTTTTTTTCTGATCCAAAGACAAGGCCGATATTAATACTGTAAATGTAACTAGGCATGCTGGGATAGTTCTTCAGTGCCCCTATTCAAGAAAGAGTCCAAAGAATTGCATCCATTAGGGGTGTGGGGGGGGGGGGCACATACACACGTGCCTTTGAGTCAGTGTTGACTCCTGGCAACTGTCTGGACAAGTCCCTGCAGTTTTCTTGGCAATGTTTTCAGAAGTGGTTTGCCCTTGCCTGCTTCCTAGGGCTGAGAGAGAGGGATTGGCCCAAGGTCACCCAGCTGGCTTGGTGCCTAAGGCAGGTCCAGAATTCACGGCCTTCTGGTTTCCAGCCTGGTGTCTTAAACCACTACACCAAACTGGCTGTCATCCATTGGATTAGGCAATGTAAATTGAATTAAAAAAAACAAACAAACTATGGCAGCTTTGGACAATGATGTCACAAGAACAGAACACTGAGGAAAAAGCACAGACCCACAACAATAGAAAAAAGAAAATGAGTCCCACAAATACAGTGCATCTGGCTTCCCACAGTTTGAAATCAGAAAAGTTATTAAAATGCACCATCATCTAAAATAGGAGGGAGATTATTAAACTATTATGTCCAGAGTCTAAGATTAATGAGTTGCACAACTGGTCACAAAGAACTGTTGAATTAGATCTTTCAAATTATCCAATTGATCAGTGGATTTACTTCAAATAAACTGGGAAATAATACCTCACAGTGGGATTTTCTCAGGATTTATCCTCACTTCTTGCTAACTGCAGATCAAAGATGTCTCATTAACTATTTTTAAAGGACATGACATGTCCTCCTGACATTGCCTTTGTCTCATCCCCAACCCACTGTGGAGGTAACACACATTCAAATGTAGCTATTCCAGTTTGGAAGCGGGGTTTCCCTCTTCTTCAAACACAAATATTGTGTGAATGATCTGGGATGGCTCCTTGACATGGTGGTGATGATGGAGATGGCACCTGAAGCTGTTGCTCAGTATTGCCTACTTTGACCATTTTGATGGGAGAAGCCAGAGACTTGGCTTCCACAGAGGCAACTGGGGAGAAGCACTCTCAGCATGAGAGATTGTGGGGAGGCTGGGAAAGGAATGGGTGACATAAACAAACAAGAAACTGCAGGCAAGTCAGATGATAGCTTATCTGATAAACAGCAATTTAACCCAGGTTGCAAAAAAAAAACCAACCTTATGAAGAAGCATTTCAAATCATTCAAAGAGACTCTTCCTTAATTAACTCACTATAAATGAGGTTGGGAAATTCCTCTTACAGTTTCCAAGATTCTGTATTTACCCTAGACTATCATTATAATTAAAAATGTTGATTATGTGCCATCAAGTTGGTGTTGACTCTTAGCAACCGCATAGATAGCCTTCTCCAGGATAGCATTAAAAAATACTTTACTGAAGTGTGTATAGTTCTTGTATCCTTGGTCTTAGTTCATTCCTGGGAGGCATGCAAAGGCTTGCATGGTTTGCATAAGAAAAACAGTTTGCCTGTCCATGTTGTGATTGTGTAGTCTGAGGCATGTTTCTACTGCTGAAATCTATCCTCCATGGATTTTAAAACAGCTTACTTCCAAGAAAGCTCATGTTTAGATGTCAGTCCTAGTAGGAGTATCTGAGAGAGAGGGGAGCTGACCTTTACCTGTCCCCAAAAGGATGTGTAAACAAAACATCAAGGTTAGTGTTAGCATGTGTTGTGTGCATGCTTTCAAAGGGAACCTGATTACAACTGATAAGAGATGATAGTCAGACTACTTTTAGACATGGGTTTAGTGCTCTTCCAGAATACTACAATTTTTTGCTTGTGCAAAAAACTTGTGCAAAACCAGCACAGGGTATAATCATCATCATCATCATCCCAAAACATCTGGAGCACCACTTGAACACCATTAGCATTGACAAAATCACCATCAGTCAATTGCAAAAGCCAGCTTTACTTGGAACAGCTTACATCCTGCGATGATACCTGTAACACCATCAAACAAAAACATCTGCCTATCCCAGGTCCTTGAGAAGGACTTGATAGCAGGATAAAAATGCCAAATCTAGTCTAAACAACTGGCTGACTGTGCAACCAACAACAACAACAATAATAATTTATATCCTGTGATAATAACTTTAACACCATCAAACGACAACATCTGCCTACCCCAGGCCCTCGGGAAGGACTCGATAGGCGGATAAAAATGCCAAAACCAGTCTAAACAGCTGGCTGACTGTGCGACCAACAATAACAACAATAATAATTTATTAAATGTATGTGCTGCCCAGTTCCCGGTGACTCTGGGTGGTTTGCAATTGTTAAGACATTTAAAAATTTAAAAACAAAGAACAGTAGAAAAAAATACCCAAACAGTGCAAAACGAAAGAACAATGGTGGCAAGGAAAATATACCCAGAGGGGGACAGAAAGGAAGAAAGGGGCATCAGTCATCCGCTCCAAAGGCCTGGGGGAAGAGCCTGCTGCTCTTGCCACCTATCAAAACGTGTTTCCTCCCTAGTCCCAGCCCCATTCAGATCAAGTGAGCAATTGGTAGATATTATCCCACCTCCAGGAGACATTTGATAGGAGGGCAAATGGAGCCCGGGGAATCCATCAATCATTTTCCTTCACAGTTTTGAAGCCAGAATTTTGTTTGTTTGTTTTTGTTTTTGTTTTTGTAAAATCATCATCATCATCATCGTCATCATCATCGTCATCATCATCGTCATCACCATCCACAAGTTTTCAGAAAGATTCTTGTGGAAAGGTGTTTGTTGTTGTTTTTAATAAGGAAAAAAATTACATTATAAAGTTGATTCCACTGGCTTTTCAGGAAAAGGCAAGTGAGTGGGACCATAGATTCTTCCATCTCTTTTCTTGCATCTTTTCTAAAAACTTACACAGATGAATAACTTGGGCATTCTATTCCACAGATATTTCAAATATAGACCCAAATGATTTAAATATGGGCATGCTAGCCAGTGTTGCACAAAAGGGCTCCAGAAACCTCAGTGCCTTGTGCTTTAATGCAAAATGTTAAATTGAGAATACTATTTCTAGAATACTTAATTCTATTTAGCCATCCTAAGGTAAATGGAGTATTTATCATTTTCTTCTGACCGAAGACCTCTTTCCTAATGAAAGTTATCCAACCAGCAGTATGTTAGATTTCTCTTCTGTACCATCCAAGAAATTGCTCTTGAATCCAAAGTGAACTTCTATTCTGCAATATATTTGATCTAACGTATACTTTTCCAAAATGGTTTTAAATTAGGACAACTCCTTTATATTATTGGTAGAATATGGGAGGGAAATTACATCCAAGAGACTCAAAAGTTTCCAGGCACCCTGGAATGTAGCTTAATATCATTAGAAGCTGTCAACAGCTAAGAGGATACCTTACCTGGCCTGTTGTCAGCCTAGCAAGGTAGTCCAGACAGGAAGCATGACCAGAGGGACTATTTCTACTTTATTGTTTGTTGTTTTAATAATTTTATTAAATAAGTTTTCAACAAAATAAAAACAATACAAATTTTGAATCTAAGAGAGAAAGAATAGGGAAAAATAATAAGAAAGTAAAAAAGAAATAAGGTAAAAGAAATAGAAAACAAAAAATAAAAAAAATAAAGTAGTGGTTTCCAATCTTCTTAATAGCAGTTGTAATTACATTTATATTTTATTCTCTCTTTCTAAGGTTACATCATAATTTCCTTCTTTCCATAATCTACCCTTTCTAAACATCAAATCCATAAATCACTAGTTCATTTTTTTCTTTTTTCAGACTAATTCTACTTTATTGTAAGGTTACATTAACAGAATTTTGCAAGTCTGAAAGTACATTTCTCCCCCTTTACTTTTGCAGCCCAAGAAACTAGGGAGGGTCCCTTCTGAGATGTTTGCCACAACCACATTCCTGCTGTGGGCTAAGCTGCCTCTTATCCAACTGTTGCCCTGGCTGTGACTCTTCCCCCTGTCTCTCAAGGTCACTTCCACATACCATTACATCTGTAGAGGGGAGGAAACCCAAAGGAAGTCCCAACACACAATGATTGAATGCCATCCAATATATGCAAATCACAATGATTTCTTCATTCATTAAGCACACATTCTCATTATTAACGGGGAAAGGCAATTTATAACTATAGCATTTTATAGATTTAGATAATTTCAGTGTGGTGCACATTAGCATTGTTTGCCCCCATGCTCCCAAGTATGTGCACATCTATTGTGACGCATCTCTTGGAAAAGCATTATTATATTCTCCTTATAATTAGAGCCATCTAATTAACCTACTTTGTATTTTACTTGGTTTGCTTTCTGTTTTTCCACTCTCTTGTAGAATTTCACTGATCCATCTGAAATTCATAAAAGGTGTGACACTCTTGAAAAGCTTCTTTCAGAAGGATGTCAGCTGAGTTTAATTGAATTTCCCATTTCCAAAATAGAGATCCATAAAAACAAGAGCCTGAGCGACAGGCCACAGATAAACAGTTCAGAAGTTACTCAGATTTCTCCTCAAAAGATAACTGTTTTCCTACGGCCAGGTAAGCTACATCATCATAACTATAAATCTTTTTAAAATAGTCTGGTTATTTATTTATTTGTGGCATTTATAAACTGCTTCAGGCTTGAAAAATTGTAAGGAGTTTACAAAAAGCTAAGGTAATAAAGCCAATGCACAATTTGTTTATAAAAATATGGTAAGGATTTGAAAGGAGATATCTGAATTCATTTACTAGAGAGTAAGCTTTGTGAAACTTAGGAAACCTATCCCTGAGTAAACAGGCTGGGGATTTTTTTTAATCAAGTGATAAAAGGACACCTGAGGCTGTATGAGACATAGAGCCATTTCTGTAACGTTAATATGCTGCTCACAATTGCTTCAGCAAATTCCTTTTTTTTCCTACTGCAATATTAATATGGCACAAAAGCAATTGAATCCATCATAACTTACAAGCAGAGATCTATCATTTGAACATGTCGTAGTCCAGATAGGTGTATTTGCTTAGCTATGATTGCAGCACATTTGGTAAAAAAGAGAAGTGGGGCAAAACTCTTTCTACATCCATGAAAAACAATCTTGTTCTTGTTCTTTTTTAATATCTAATTTTCTATTTAGAGGCTAGATATCATTTTTCTGTCATAACATTAAACTGCTAATATGCAAGTCTATCTATTCCTTTGGGATATGCTATGGTTCCTTAGGCCTGTATGCATGGCGCAAGAAGATAGCTCTGCATGAAAAGAAGCCAGGAGCCACATATATTACTGGGGAGTTGATCTAATTCAGTCTTTCCCAGATGGATTGGATTTTAAGTCCCAGAATTCCCTCCTACCACTCCCTGAATTTCTTCCACAAAAGCTAAGGAAGATGCGCTACTGTCTTGGAATTCCATGTCTGTATCCAGTAATTAACTTTTCTCTAAGCAAGGCATCCAAGTAGCCCCTGTTGTCTCATGAGAATGGATTTCATCCATTTAGGCTTCACCACTGGGAGTTTCCAGTGACAGCAGAACTAGTGGCTAGGTCGTTCTGCATAAGACAAAATCCAGAGAGGTATCCCAGGTTCTTTGGCTAATAGGAAAAGGTAAATGCTTCCTTTATAGAAGAGGTTATGTCAAAGAAGTAAGAAAGACAATCAAAAGAAGAAGAGGAAGAGGAAGAAGAAATATTGCAACAACACCCCAGACTTAACAATTGTTGATAAGAAAGACAAAAAAGTCTGGATAGTGGACACTGCAATACCTGGAGACAGCAGAATAGAAGAGAAAGGACTGGAGAAAATCACAAGATACAAAGACCTGCACATAGAAGTAGAAAGACTGTGGCAAAAGAAAGTAAAGATAGTACCAATAGTTATAGGTGCCTTAGGTGCAATTCCAAAGCATCTGGAGCACCACTTGAAGTGCATCGGCATTGACAAAATCACCATCAATCAATTGCAAAAGGCAGCTTTACTTGGAACAGCTTACATCCT